GGTGTGAATGGGTGAGTGGGTGTAAATTCAACTGCAGTGGTTATTTTCTAGTTCCAGAGACGAGTGTTGGTCTAAGAGAAACAGCTCTATCCTTAAGCACTGTGTAAAATCTGACCCCAAAAAGCTGGAACACCGCAACAATTAAACAATCCTTGCATTTGATACCGCGCCTTATCACGTGCTTGAGACGCCTCAAAGCGCTTCACGCAATATGCATGCAAAGCGGATCGGCTGCGTAATTTGCAGGCCAAACGCGGCAGCAGCCAAATTGCGCACAGCAACGTCCCGCAAGCAGTCGTGGGATTGAACGGACATCAGCAGCAAGGTTAGGAAAAGAAGCAAAGCAATTTCATTTCCAATGCCACCCACATTCTTGGCAGGGCAGTGCAAGCCCAGAGTGCTCTCTTTCCGGTTACAGGCTCGGAAAGGAATGTGATGATGGGCCGAAGAAAGCATATCCCGCTCTCTTGATCCGCCTCTCAATGTATTCTCTCAAATTCGCTGCCTGCGCCTTCAAGTGGGAATGACTACGCACACTGATTAAGTTTCCCTGCATGCCAAATTTTGGCCAGACACTTGTCGCAAACTGCTGTCGTTTGGCATCGTGCTGCTTGGGGGAAAAAAACAGTCACTAGGCTCCAAAGGTGGTTTCGACCTCGCTTCGGTGTTTCCTAGAATACCGTTCGGTGCACCGCGCTCTCACCTGACGCGACTAAATGGATGACTGAGAGCGCCATTTAGAGAACCTGTTAAGAACCCTTCCACGCCCTCTGTTGTCGTAACTTTACAGTGTTTTGTTTTGTTTCCAAAGTTCGTTTGATGAAGCTGAAAAGTTTTTTCTGTTCTTTTTTGACCCCCCCCCCCTTTCTTCTCTCTCTCTCTCTCTCTCTCTCTCCCTTCCCCCTTTCTCCCCAAACCCCATTCCTTTACCCCCTTCTCCCGAAAGGTACACTATCGGGACTGATCTGAGACTGGCTTGTGGAGGTGAGGGTGAGAGTGGGTGGAGGGAAGGAAGGAGTGGTGGCAGCAAGAAATGTGTTTGAATTTGCAGTGTAGTGTCGAGGAGCGATATTGAATCCAGGGGTTGGTTGGTTGGTTGTGTGTGTGTGTGTGTGTGAGAAGAGCATGCGGGATTTTTTTTGTGCTCGTCAGGTGAGCGACATCTAAGATTTCCTTTTCTCTCCCGCAACGGTCATTTCGGCCAATAGCGATCACGCGGCTAAATGCTGGTGGTAATTCATTGCCTTGCACACCTCTTCCCTCCCCTCCCTCCCTCCCTCCTGCACACGCATTTAGCTGCAGGTGTTTTAAAAGTTGCCTTTGAAACTTGCAGAGCCCCAGTGGAGAAAGACTGTCAGATTTTAGGATGCCTTTCAGTCTCGGCCACCCTGCCCCTTTGGGTAGCTCACCCGCTCAGCTTAACGTTTCCACTTTGTTCCCCTCTCTGAGCAACTGGAGTTGACACAGTCGGGTCTCGTTAGAAACAGGTGGATTTTTCAGAGCGACTCAGTTTAACTTGAGGACTTGCCAAGGGCTGAACTGAAGAGCAAGTGTGTGTGTGTTGTGTGTGTGTGAGAGAGAGAGAGAGCGTTAGTGGGCAGAACATTTGTGGTTTTCTTTTCTCGTGTTGAAAGACCTCATTAGGACCAAAATTACTCTGACACAATTGGGTTCTTTCAACCAAGATGCTTATGACTTTACTACTTTTATTACTTACGTTGGGTTGACACGGTTTGACTTTCTCTCGCATAGTGTTCGGTCTTGCGTTCGGGAATATTTTTATCTTCGCATTTCATATTCAATTCTACCTTTTTATTGGGGGGAAAAAAAAAGTTGACGTAACCGGCGAAGGATAAAGCTGTTGTTTCCGTGTATGTTTACCGCGAGTTACTGCTGCTGTGCAGAGAGATGTGAAACGGACGAAAATATAAAGCTCAGAATTTGACTTCATGCCATCTGTTCATGTGGTGTGAGAGAGAGAGAGAGAGACTTTGTACAAAATCAGAGTTTTTGCTGGTGTCTCATTGCATCAAAGAGTTTTCTTGGCAAATTACAGCCTGGTAGTTGCGCCTTTCCAATTGGCAGAAGAAGTACTAAAAGGAAAAGGGAGTGTCTGTCATTAGCGCTCACGTGTGCGTGCATTTCTTTCGCTCTTGTTTCTGTCCCTCCCTCTTTATCTCTCCCACCCTTCCTCTTTCTCTCTCTCTCTCTCTCTCTCTCTTTCTCTCCTTTTTCTATTTCCATCCCCCCTTTCTCTCTCTCTCTCCCTCTATTTCTAATACTTCAATTTCCATCCCTTTCTGTATCTCCTTCACATTTCTCTTACCATCCCTTTCTCTCTCTATCTCCCTCATTTTTCTATTACCGTCCTGAAGGGCGATGAGTGTTAGTAAACAAGTAGTTTAACCAACGGAGCAAAGGTTCGAGGACTGCTTGTTAATGCAGGGTGCGGTGGTAATCGTAGCAAACCTCCTGCTTATCACAAGAACTAAAAACCTTCCTGCCTCATTGATGTAAACACCTACCCGCCCGTACCCTCCGTTCCTCTGGCTCCGGTCTGCTCCACGTCCCCCGCCCCAACCGCCCTACCATCGGTGGCCGGGCCTTCAGCCTCTCAGCCCCGAGGCTCTGGAACTCCATCCCCCAGTGCCTTCGCCGCCTCCTCCCTTTCCTCCTTCAAGGCCGGTCTCAAGACCTTCCTCTTTGACCGAGCCTTCAGCTCCCCTCTCGACTCTCTACCCCCTCCTCGCTCCCTCCCTTCCCTCCCCTCGCCCTGACCATTTCCCCCCAATGCTCGGGTCCTGACCCAACTGTACAGCGCCTTGGGACGTCCTCCCAACGTGAAAGGCGCTCAATAAATGGAATCTTGTTGTTGTTGTTGTTGTTGTTGAGTGCTCTAACCAATATGCCACAAGACTCCACAAATCCACAACTCCGGAATTGAATTAGTATCAGTGAGTGACAGATCAGAATTTTAACAGAGATATATTACACCCAGGTCCAGGTTTACTCTATTTACTCCATTCTGTTGCGGTAAATACACAGTCACTACACTTTACAGTAAATCATTAACTTTGAGGATGACTGCTCGTTGGTATATGATGATGAATGAATGAATCAATCAATCAATCAACACAATACTTAGAGATAGGGCCTTGCCATCTGGCGTGAGGAGCGATATGTTAATGCAAGTTGCTGTTGTTGAATAGACTTTTAGAGTTTTGTGTGAAAATTTCAACTAATTCTAACCGGCAAAGCTGTGGAATATTCACAGATTGGGAGTCACAACAGGAGTACAGCTCTTTAGCAAAGTGCAAACCCTTTGCGAGCAAAGAGATAGGTTTTGGTTTAAATAAAGTTTTCACAAAGCGTGACTCATCAAGTGCCCTACCCCGGAATTGTTAGCTTTTAATCATAATTAGCTTCTAGTTATTGGCTTTTAATGACAATAAATCTTGCATTTGATACAACGCCTTATCACATCTTCGAGACTTCTCAAAGCGCTTCACAGGCTATACTGTAAAGTGAATTGACTGTGAATTATTTATACACATATATATATGGGTGACCATCGGAGAGTTGCAACAGGTTAGGTTGTTAAGTAGGAATTGAAGACAGATAAGAGAGGGGGCGAGACTGAGGGTGATGGTGAAGTGATGGAACCCACAACGGGCCCAAGTCAGCTGAGCGGCGAGAGTGGGCAGGACTGGGGTAGGAGAAGATCACAGAGATGAGGAGATGCTCGGGCGTGAAGGGAGTTAGAGGTGAGGGCGAGGACCTTGGAAGTCGACACATCGAGAGGCAGATAGCCTGGCAGGGAATGGGAATGGGGTGGTGCCAAACCCGCCCCATTTTTGTGTTGCAAAATGTCCAATTGAACTCGAGCGGCCAAATAGATGACGTGAATAATACGGGGTGCACTTTCACATGCGTGAATGTATCTAGCGCTGCTGTACAAGGCGTTGAAGCAGTTGCTTCTGAGGATGGTGTCCAAAGTAGAAAAAAAATGTTCCATTTGAGGTGCAGTGAACTCCTTCAACTCGATGAGATCTAAGATGAGCCAAAGAGATTGCAAGTTGCATGCGCTCATGACTGAGTGGGGGTGGAGGGGGCGGTGGGGGGGGGGGGGTGTGGGGGGGGTGTTGTTGTGCGGACTGGCTGATGTTCAATAGTTCTGCTGAGCGTAGCACTTTGTGATGCTTTTCTCACACTCTTTGTTTTGCCGTGAAGTCTCGTTCGAATGTGCCCAAGAAAACGCGTTCAATGGAACGCAACTGAAATACAAAACTTGAAACCCCCGCTGTCCACTGTTTCTTTTGAAACACGCATCTGTTAAAACGAGACCACGCTCGACAGAGCTAAGGTACGACTTTAGATCAGTCCATTAGGTGGGGGGAAAATCCCTCGCACACATTCCGAGAGCTGTAGTAGTCTCAATTTCCTATTCAGCGCTGTGATTAACAAGAATAGCTTCAAACTTTACACAAAGATTTCCTAGTATTCTGTAGCCGAGGTATTTTTTTTTTTTTTTTAGCACAGGATGTGAGTATTACAATTCTGATGGCATGATACAAGTAGAAAAGCAAAGCTTTTCGACTTGCACCAGACGTGTGCAGCACTTGCATTTCCAACCCGCTCAACTTGTCAGTAAGCCGCTACTTTGGGCTCTTGCCAACCTGCGCCTAATACTTTCCGGAATTAGGTGAGCAAGCTGCGTGCCCTCTTTTTTTTTTTAAGTCGAGGAAAATAGCCGACGGGTGGGTAATCGGGTCGAAGCTGCGTCACTTCCCGCACGCCAGCTTACCCGCAGGAAGTGACCCCCGGAACGTAGTGGCCAGAGTTTGTTAAAGAGCCAAAGCTTGGGAAGGTAGGGTGGGGGGGGGGGGGGAGCCAAGAGTGTGCGTTGGGGGTAACTGCTTAGAGTCAATATTCTCGATACTTTGTGGGATTCCTTTTCTTCTTCACCTCAATAAATTATTCTCATTTTTTTTTTTTTGCAGGCTGTTATATTTATAGGGCAAACGTAGCTACTGCCAGAGTTGAGCAACTGCGTTCGATCAGTGGGAATGAACAAACCAACAGTAGGTGAGTACTTTACTGCAGTGCAGAATCACCCATCGTTCATTGACGACGCGCAGTAAGACGGTCTCTGCGATAAAGCAGCACTTCCTTCATTTCTTGAAAAGTTACACGGCGTCATTCGCGCAGGGTCTCGGACACCAAGCCGGGGGCCAGGGAAGAGGTGACCACAAGCACGATCGAAGGGGAAGTCGTGAGCTAAAAGAGGGGAAGGAACGGGGCAAGGTAGAGGGATTGGAGGAGAGTGTTCCAAAGCTATGAACTAATCTGCTAATTGTAATAAAAGACGACTGCTGTTCAATTTCCGTGACTGCTGCGTTAGGATAAGCTTTGACTTCCCAAATGCTCACCCTTCAAAAACATAAATAAATAATAATTGGGGTCACTCAGTCCACGACTGTTTGTGGGGACGCTGCTGTGCGCAATTGGCTGCCGCGTTTCGCCCTCAAAACATCCAATCAATTCACTTTAAAGTATATTCCGTGAAGCGCTTTGAGACGTCTCGAAGACGTGATGAGGCGCCGTATCAAATGCAGGGTTTTTATTATTATTATTAAGGGTGTAGTGACTGGAGGTACTGCCAATGATGTACTGTTCCATAGTAGCTGAGCGTTACACGTGCAGTTTTGAGACTAAGCTGAGATTTAGGTCAAAGGTGCGAATCCAATGACTCGTTAGAAAAACATTTGGAGCAGTTGGTTCTCCTTTCCCCCCACCACCCCCACCTCCTCCCCGCTCCCTATTCCAAAATAAAAACAGGAAATAGGCGCAGTAATTCGAACGTCAATGAATGGATGAAAAGAAATCTTTACATTCGAGTCATATCGTGGGTTTCTGACTCAGAAGTCTGCAGTTGTCTTTGACCAAAGTAAAGCTGCCTTTGCGGCCTTGGACACTTAATTTCTTGAATGCATTCTCGGCCTGGTTATCCGAAATTCCTTTGCAGTTATCGAAGTGGTGGTGGATTTCAGCTTAGTGATTCATTTCCAGATTTTAATAGCTTCCTGGAATAGAAAACAAAATGAAACGGATCACTTTAATAGGATGTGTGATTACTCATGCTCTCGGGACTGCGAGTAAAACTCTTACTGACTGAGTCAAAGAAGCTGAAGTAACACTGCTGCTACTTTCTTGTGCTGTTATATATATATATATATATATATTGTCATTTGCGTGAACTTGCTAATTGTTCACGGAGACTTCAGTGGAAATTTACAGAAACTGAAACTGCCCATTCAGCCCATTAAATCTGCACGATCCCCACTCTCAATACCCTTCGATATTCCTTTTTTTTATTCCAAGCATTATATCTGTCCCTGTGTTTCTTGAAATACTTGACTCCGCCAAAAATGGATGCATTCTATCCCACTTTCTGCCTTTCAATAACTATGTTCCTTGAATTTAACTTAAGGTCCAACGTGCCAGCCAATTTAGACGCAGTAATGTCCCACGGACAGCCATCAGGCGAATAACCAATTTTATCTGGGAAGGAGGTTGGTCATAGAATCGTTAACGTGACAATAAAGTAATAATCCTTGCATTTGGTATACAGCCTCAAAGCGCTATATCGGATTTTACTGTGAAGTGTAGTGACATGTCTATTTGTGGGCGAAACACACCTGAACAGGCACGGACAGGACAGGACCTCGGTTTAACATCTCGTCTGAAGGATGATGTCTCTGACAGTGTGGCACGGTGCGACTTTGGAGTGTTGGGAGTGTCATCGTACAACAGTGGCCAATTTCATTCCCCCCCACTCCACCACTTTCCTCCTCCCGCTCCCTTCATAACCCGTAAATGTTATGTTATGTTTCTGGAAGGGAAACACAAAAATATTGCTTAAGAGGCCCGTGGTCGTTAGTCAAATAGAACATCAATAGGGCATCTGGCCTTCAGCAGCCAAAAGGTTGGACCGCACTGGTCTAGGCAATGAATTCCAGGTCCCAACCTGAGGCACGAACCCACGAACTTCTGCCCCAGAGGGCGAGAGTGCCAGCCACTGAGCCAGGCCGACTGATAGCTGGGAAACTCTCAACCCTCTCGCAAAGCTTGTTTTTGTGTAAGTAATTGACATCTCGTGTTTCCGTCGGATCAGTACGTCTTCAGCGCTCAGCACTCAAGCAGCTTCCAGAGACACGGCCAAGAAAAAAAACAGAAACGGTGGTGGTGGGGGGAAAAAACATTGCCTTTTATTATTCTGGTAGCATAGCACCACTGAGTGGTGGGTTACGGGTTTACGCCTGCATTTTTCCACTACGATACGGATTCCTGATATCAGCTAATCTTGCAGACGGGAGACAACTAACTGAGCAGAAACAATCCGAGGGCAAGTGAAAGTACCCCAGTCTCGCACACTTCCTAGTGTCTGCCTTGTTACAGAACAGGTCAGTCACCTGACAGCCGTTAACCATTTTTAAGACTTCTCGAACCTTTTACGATTCAATCGAACGTGTGGTTTTGTCAGACTTCCTTTTTTNCTGTTGTTTCATGCTTTACTCGCTCAGCAAACCTGGTCTGTTCGGATCGTGCATTGCAGAAGGAGACGAGGCAGTGCCGTTTTGAGCCTATTTTACCTCTGGGCAGAGTTTATCTCATCCTCTCTCTGGCCTCGCAACCGGTGTGTGTAACGTTCATGTGCGACTCAGCTCTCGTTAACCCTGCAAGCTGGATCGTTGACTGGAAGAGCGGTCCTTGTCCACAAGCCGCAGGAAGCTTGCCAGACAGCGCCCTAAATGGCAAAACGATGTGGTTTTCGCTAGTTAAAACTCCAGCAGCATCCCGACATGCGTTCAACGCGCTTTCGCACCTGGCTGCTGCATTTCGGCCACAAAATGCACAGCCAACCCACTCTGCGGTGTATCCTGCGAAGGAAGCACTTTGAGGCCTCTCAATGACGCGACAATGTACTATATCAAATGCATGGATCATTACAACAATAACAACAGATTACATTTATATAGCGCCATTCACATTATAAGGAGGACCCAAGGCACGATTATTATTTTATTATTATTATTATCAGGAGCAAGAGGCATGGTTATGTGCCTTTCCATCCTCCCCACCTCTCCCGCCCCGTCCAAACCGCTTCCTTTCTCCAGAGATGATTACAATTTTCACCCCTTTCTGCCGTCCATCTACGTCATTGTTAAGTGCTCCGAGACGCTACCCAGCCTGAAGAGCGCTGTGTAAAATGCAAGTTGTTGTTGTTGTTGTCGCCCTGACCCCAATCAAGGACCTTGCCTGAGCACTAATGTTCAGCTCTGCTTAGCCCTGGCTGTGTCGGTGGAGTGGGCCTGGGGGGGGATGAGGGGGGAGGGCAGTAAGAGGAGAGAGAGTGCTGCAGTCTGTTCCTGGGAGACCCTAACCCCTACCTTACAAAGGAGGCAAAGAGTGAGGAGCGGGGAGGGGGAGAGGGAGCAGGAGGTAAAGCGCCCTTAAAAATGTCTCAAACCTCAGCGTCTCCCAACGCAACTCTTGTCACCGCCGACCACTCAATGTGCGAAAGGTCATTCAGAGTGACAAGTGACAACCGATGAGAGCGCACTCGAAGCTTAACCACAGGAAATTCCTAAGCTTAATGAGTAAATTCCAACAAACCGACCGCCAATTACATACAATGGTCTCCAAAGTGGAAGGTTGAGGCTGTCCCAATTACAATGGTATTTGTCGAGCAGATATTTTTAACTCATTGCCACGCTTGTCTGTGTGTGTGTCTGTGTGTGTGTGTGTGGTGGAGCAGAGTCATAGTATTACTTTATCGAGACACAATGTGCACATTTATCTTGCTAATGATGCGCGTGTGTGTGACTCACTTGTCGGGAATGGGTGTCAAAGAAAACAAGGGAATTTGAGGTTTTCGGTTTCCCTCCGGGTTTGACTCAGAAGACAACTGTGGATGCGAGGAATTGGGGCAAAGGTTATTCCAAGAATCCTTCAGTCCCTAATCTGAGATCTCAGGATAATCTAACAGATATAGATACTGATGTAATGCAGCTAGCGGCATGTGGAGCCGTGTAGCTCAGCGGTTAGAGCAATATACAATTATACAATAGTAATCCTTGCATTTGATACAGCGCCTTATCACGTCGTTGAGACATCTCAAAAGCGCTTCATAGAATATATTGTAAAGTGGATTGACTATATTTTGTGGAGGAAACGTGCCAATTGCATACAGTAGTGTCCCGCGAAAGCCGTAGATTGCATGACTAAGGTTTATTTCGTGGGAGGTGGGGGGATTAAATGGGATTGGAGAACTATAATTTACAATACATCAAGACAGTTAGAACAAGAGCACATGGGTTTAGAGTTGCCAAAGGGAAATTTCAGGACAAGGGGGAGGGGTGGGGGGTTGAAGCCAAGATACAGGACTCATTTCAAAAGCACCTCAACTCTGTAATGAGAAGCCAATAGGGTGGGTAATCTGGAAGGAAGGATGAGATCAAATGGTCCTTCTTCATCCAAACCAAGCCTGTGATCTTATGATCTCACCGTTTACCGGAAAACGGAGACTGATTCATTCATTGAGGATGTCACTGTTTACTCCCAGCACAGAGGATTCCAGCTTCCCTCCTTTGGGATAATTATCGAGGGATGATCTGAGCTTTCACCTCTCAAACAGCTCACTTAACAAGATGCACTCAACCAGTAATTATATTGGCATGATTTTTATTACGATAGTTAGGCAGTTAACTATCTCGTGGGATTTCTAAACCATCGACAGCAGGGTGTCAGTGTTCCAAGTTCCTGCGGATAATAATTGCCGAGAGTGTGAGACGTGTATTGTGGTATAACCTAATGCGACATTGGAGGCATGTGGTTCCTGTGGGCTGTAAGAGCGCTCCCCACAGTATTTGGGGTTTGGGAACAGTAACAGTCCTTGCATTTGATATGGAGCCTTATCACGTCCTTGAGACGTCTCAAAGTGCTTTGCGCCATACAGTGAAATTTTGTATTTTGCGGGAGCCGTGGGACGTCCTCCCGACGTGAAAGGCTCTCCATAAGTGTCA